GCAAGAATACAAAGAAGAACTATATAAAAAGATCTTCATGACCCAGATAACCACGATGGTGTGATCACTCACCTAGAGCCAGACATCCTGGAATGTGAAGTCAAGTGGGCCTTAGGAAACATCACTATGAACAAAGCTAGTCGAGGTGATGGAATTCCAGTTGAGCTATTTCAAATCCTAAAAGATGATGCTATGGAAGTGCTGCACTCAATATGCCAGCAAATTTGGAAAATTCAGCAGTGGCCACAGGACTGGAAAAGTTCAGTTTTCATTCCAATTCCAAAGAAAGGCAATGCCAAAGAATATTCAAACTACTGCACAATTGCACTCATCTCACACGCTGGCAAAGTAATGCTCAGAATTTTCCAAGCCCGGCTTTAACAGTGTGTGAACCATGAACTTCCAGATGTTCCAGCTGGATTTAGAAAAGCCAGAGGAACCAGAGATCAAATTGCCAACACCACTGGATCATCGAAAAACAAGAGAGTTCCAGAAAAAACCTACTTTGGTTTTATTGACTATGCCAAAGGCTTTGACTGTGTGGATCACAACAAACTGGAAAATTCTTCAAGAGATGGGAATACCAGACCGCCTTACCTGCCTCCTGAGAAACCTGTATGCAGGTCAAGAAGCAACAGTTAGAACTGAACATGGAACAACAGACAGGTTCCAAATTGGGAAAGGAGTACGTCAAGGCTATCTGTTGTCACCCTGCTTATTTAACTTATATGCAGAGTACATCATGAGACATGCTGGGCTGGATGAAGCAGAAGCTGTAATCAAGATTGTTGGGAGCAATATCAATAACCTCAAATACGCAGATGACACCACCCTTATGGCAAAAATCGAAGAACTAAAGAGCCTCTTGATGAAAATGAGAGAGGAGAGTGAAACAGCTGGCTTAAAACTCAACTTCATGGAGAAGGAAATGGCAACCAACTCCAGTAATCTTGCCTGGAAAATCCCATGGACGGAGGAACCTGGTAGGCTACAGTCCATGGGGGTCGCAAAGAGTTGGACACGACTGAGCAACTTCACACACACACACACAAAAAAACGCTCCAGAAAACTAAAATCATGGCATCCAGTCCCATCACTTCATGGCAAACAGACAGCGAAACAATGGAAACAGTGAGAGACTTGATCTTTGGGGGCTCCAAAATCACTGCAGATGGCGACTGCAGCCATGAAATTAAAAGATGCTTACTCCTTGGAAGGAAAGTTATGACCAACCTAGATAGCATGTTAGAAAGCAGAGACATTTCTTTGTCAGCAAAGGTCCATCTAGTCAAGGCTATGGGTTTTCCGGTGGTGATGTATGGATGTGAGAGTTGGACTATAAAGAAAGCTGAGTGCCTAAGAATTGATGCTTTTGAACTGTGGTGTTGGAGAAGACTCTTGAGAGTCCCTTGGACTGCAAGGAGATCCAACCAGTCCATCCTAAAGAAAATCAGTCCTACATGTTCATTGGAAGGACTGATGTTGAAGCTGAAACTCCAGTACTTTGGCCCCCTGATGGGAAGAACAGACTCATTTGAAAAGACCCTGATGCTGGGAAAGATTGAGGGCAGGAGGAGAAGGGGACGACAGAGGAGGAGATGGTTGGATGGCAATACTGAGTCAATGGACTTGAGTTTGGGTTGTGAAGATCTTTTTTGTATGGTTCTTCTGTGTATTCTTGCCACCTCTTCTGAGTATCTTCTGCTTCTGTTAGGTCCATACCATTTCTGTCCTTATTGAGCCCGTCTTTGCATGAAATGTTCCCTTGTTATCTCTAATTTTCTTGAAGGGAAATGTAGATGAGTGCATAAAAATGTAGGGTTCTGATTTTTTACCCCTATTGGGCTGGGCTCCTTCATCATTATTAAAAAGTCTCTAGTAATGGTTGTTCAAATTGCTTTGTTTGAAATTAGTAGCTACACAAACCTTTTGGTTAGTGTTTATCATGGTCAATTTCTTCATTTTGCTTTTAACTTTTTTGTGACCCTTATATGTAAAATATATCTCTCATTTAAGCAACCTGTTTTTAAATACAGGTTCAGTCTTGGTTTTTTACTTGGAGTATTTAGTTCATTTACTTTTAAACTGGTTACTGATATATTTGATTTTGTTTTTCCCTCTTTTTCTTTTATTTCTATTTTTATCCTCTTGTTTTATCTTTTGTTGTTTGCTAGTTTTTTCAGTTAATCAGGTCTTTCTTGTTATTTTTTTTCTTCGGTTTGTTTTTTTATGTATGTGTTTACTCTTATTTCAGTGGTTACCCTCAAGCCGGGGTGGGAAACTGTTGCTTGCAGGCCAAATCCAGTCATCCTCCTGTTTTTATACGTAAAATTTTATTGAAACACAGCCATACTCATTTGCTTACATATCGTGTTATCATTGCTTTAACACTATAGTGGCATAATTGAATAGTTGCACAGAGAGCCTATGTATATGTAAGGTTTGCAAAGCCTATAATATTTCCTATATGGCTGTTTAGAAAAAATTTGCCTGTTTCTACCATAGTGATGTGGTTCTTAAACTTGATCTTGAATCACAATCACCAGGAAGGTTTTGTTAATCCAGAATTTCTGATTGACTAGGTTTGAGTTGGGGCCTCATAATTTGCATTTCTAACAAATTGCCCTATGATGGTCAGCTGCTGTCTGGGACAACATTTTGAGTTCCACTGCCTTAGAGGTTACAATCTTTGTAACCTCTTGTAAAGTTACATCTTTGACTTACTGCAACCTAAAATAAATCACTGTGTTTACTACTTCCACATTAATACTGAAAGTTTTAGAACCCTTTAACGTTGCTTACCTCTTAGCACTATTTTATAACAATCTTAGGCAACAACTCAAATGTCTGTCAACAGTAGAATGGATATTAATAACTCATGGCACATTTCATGCACTAAAAAACTTGAAGCAATGAAAATTTGTCTTCCAAACATTTTATCAAGTGCTAAGAACCTAGGTACTAGAGTACCTATTATTTGATTCTTTTTGTATTAAAGTTCAAAAATGGGCAAAACTGACTAGACTAGTTAGCTTTGGCAGAAAATAGTGACTTTAGGGCAACTCAGTGAGGGTGCTTACAGAATGTTGGTAATGATCTCCTGGTCTGGAGACTGGTTACACTTAGCATATTCATTTTGTGAAAATTAATTGAGCTGCATGCTTTAATTTACATACTTTTCTCTTCCTTGTTTTGATAAAAAGGGAAAAATTAATTTCCTAATAGTTTTAGAATGTTAAGAGTTAATTATTTTTAAGTGGTAGAAGTATTTACTCATTTCAGTCCTTGTGTGTGTGTGTGTGGGAGCAGAGAGCCCTGTTTCCATGGGAACTCCTGGCTGCTCACTGTTTTAGTACCTCTCGCTCTGTAGATTTGTGTATATACTCTGTCCCTCTGAGCTGCATTTTTAAAGAATAGGGTGGTGGTCAAAAAAAAAGGTTTATTTGAGATTATATTAATGTTTTTTAACAGAGCAGTCTTCATAAATTTAATTGATCCAAACTGGCTCCCAGTAGCATATTGCTAAAATATGTATATATTTTTTAACTAAAATATACGTTTTTCCTACAAGTGTACTGTTTAAGAAAAACACTTGCTGAAATGTAATTTGGTTTGTATTAGGGTAACTATTTGATTCTTTTTTTCCAGTAAATAAAACTGTCTTAACAGTTGTCTGGTATTTTTGTAAATACATTTAGTACTTGAACTTGTAGTTTGTAGGGATGATTCTGTTTTACCTGATTTGGGTGTTTGGGTAGGCAAGGGATGCAGACTGAAAGGAAGAGCTTCTGGCATATTGATCTGAAGCCTGTGGTAAAGCTGCTTCTCTGCCTCACCCATCTTGTTTGTCGTGGTTGGTTTGTGCAGGGTCCTAGAGAAAACCGTCTTCTCAGACGAGTAAAATGCATGCATCTTGTGATTTGGAGGGCGGATTGGGGGTGGGAGGGATCATTTTATACGAGGAGGTTATACTAGTGTAGTTATTCATAAATAGTCTAAAAGGAGCTTTGTAGAATATTTTTGAATCGTTGATGAGAACAAATTGTTCAGTTTGGTTTCTGTAGCCTAAAGAAACAGCAAATTGTAAGATTGCAGAGTTAATTATGCACAGTAACGAGCACTGTGATACTCCGTGTTTTACTGATGCAATAATAAGCACTCCAGCAGAGCAAACATTGCAGAAAAGGTTATTTTCTCTTTGTATAAATTTTCATGTGGATTAAAGAGAAGGCAACATATTTAGGTTTATAAATCTTTATTATTGAACACCCTTGAAATTTTTGTTATAGACTTAAGGATTGCAGCTCCATGGAGAATTTTTTTAAATACATGGAGAATTTTTACCTTTCATCTGGCAGTAGCTGCCATAAGATGATGTCACCTTGTAGCTGATTGGCTGTTACAGCACCTAGGGCAGGGAAGAGAAAGAAAAATGCCGGCACAAACCTCAGTGGTGGTTCTGTGGTTGTTGCTGTCTATTTTTGATAGAATCTTTGATTAGTATCAAATCTATTGTATTTGGCCATGTGAACTATCCAGAGCATCCTAGGGTGAGGGAAATTAAGAGCTTTCAGAGGAATGAGGCGACTGATTTGCAAACGGATCTGTGATTGTAAGTTGCAGAATCTGGGTATAAGAAATAAGGCAGGGTGTGCTGGAAGATGCACTATGGGAGGAGCTGGCAGAAAATGCTTGTATGAGTAGCAGAGAAATGAAAAATGCTTCTTACTACTCTTAGCGTTAATGTGTTTGGTTTTATGTTTTGACTTAATATATCTAGCTAAGAACTAAGATAATATTGTAAACTGATTTTAAATTATACTGGGTTATTTTATATAGTGTTAGTATATAAATGCTTATTCAAAGGAGCTTTATTTTGTATTACCTATCTTAGAAAGTAATGACTTTATACATACCTTTTTTGATTTTTGAGTCTTACAAGAGGAAAATTGAGCAAAGCCTGGTTCTCTTAAAATACATTTTTCTAACACTTTGTGCAGATAAAAGCTTTGATGATGAAGAATCAGTGGATGGAAATAGGCCATCATCAGCTGCTTCGGCCTTCAAGGTTCCTGCACCTAAAACATCCGGAAATCCTGTCAACAGTGCAAGGAAGCCTGGTTCAGCAGGTGGCCCTAAGGTTGGAGGTAATGTAAATCCATTTCAAATCTGATGTGCATGCCTCATGCCCTTGATATGGCCACACATACTTAGAACTTCAGAGGAATATGTTTATTCATGACTGCAGCAAGATTGCAGAGCTAGAGAATCTGTTGCAGCACTCAGAAGAATGTGCTGCCTTTCCAAAAACATTTAAAATATCGTATATGATATTTCCTGTCAGAATATATGTGAATTTGTGTTTTCTTGAGATTATTTATTTTTCAGATGCCATTAAAAGATATTTAAGGGAGTGTTAGGGGTTTGGGTCTTTTTGTTTTCAAGGAGAAAGTAGGTTTTTCAGAATTTGGCTATTTTCAGGTGCTTTAGTTCTTAAAGTACTGATTCATCTAATGTTCATATACATTCATCTAGGGCATGAGTCTTAAATACTCTAACATTGGAGAAATGGTTAAAGATACTGGGTATTGAATAATCTGTCACAATAGGAAATGGGTGGTGGTCAAGTAAAATTACCTCAAAAATGTTTTCTGGATTAGATAATAATAAATAGGAAAAACCAGGTTTTATGGCAATTACACAACACATAGTATATTCTTTGATCATATTAAACTTTTTAGCATATTTTTTTATCTTTGAATTTTTTATGAGTAGTTTTTTCATCCACTAATTAGAAAGCTATTTTTAAGGTGCTAGTTTTGCCAGGTTTTTATAATAAAATGAATTCTGTAAGAAAAAGGATAAATATTTAATGCTAAAAAGACAGTAGTTTCTTTCTCTTTTTTTAATTAATAAATTTATGTATTATAATTTGGGAAAATAGATTTTTCCTTGTTTATGATAGCTAGTGGGAAAGTCATGGTCTTCAGGATTTTGTTTTTTCTCTTTTTGTCTACAGTTCTTTTATTAAAAACAAAAAGGAAAGAAAAATAAACTGTATTTTGACCTGGTTCTTTACGTTGTGTTTTCTTGATCTTTCTATACAACCAAATGTTATTTTCTACGTCATAGGATATTCTAAACACAGTAAAACTATTCTAAATATTTCATCTTTTAAATATCTTTAATACTAGCAAAAAAATGGTATGGTATATACATGTATATTTGCATGCATATAAATAACTTCTCTGGATATTTTGAGTAATTTATACTTTAGTATTTTAATCATTTTCTTTTTGCTTTGCAATTTTACAAGTATATTCTCATTCTGTAGTCATTATATCCTATTACATGATGTCTATTATGGATTCTTATCTCTGGTATAAAGTTAATGACATTCTGTGGTGGCTTACTTTTGTAACAAATGGCTACCTTCACTAATTACAAGGGGAATATGTTTTCTTTATTTTGACTTATAAGTTTCCAATCTGTGATACTATGATATTTATTTTATGAAATTGTCTTGACTTAAAATGGATTAATATTTAAAATGCATGGTGAAAATATTTAACATTTTTGTGACACTGAGCCTGTGGTTTATAATTAGCTGTGATTTTCATGTTTTATTTTCTTTTCTTTGAAGAAAGTTGAGATTGTAGTTTACCTACTAAAAGTCACTTAATTCTGATGTTAATCAAATTGATAAAATCAGATTTCTTTTTCTTAACACCATACTCCCTTCTCTGATTTGTCATCCTACCAGATAGAAGAATGTAGGTAGCTTTCAGGATTGTCATCATTAATCACTCATACAGAGTATGCTATCTATTTTGGTGTCAGCCTTTTTGATAAAAACAAGGGATACGCCTTCGTTTTTCCTTCATTCCTCTCTTCCTCCTCCTCATCATTTTGGCGATAGCATATTCATTCTGCAGTTTTTTGTTTGTTTGTTTCTTTTGTTTGCCATAGCTCATTTAGGTTCACTGCCCATTTTTCTATCTAAGAAAAAAGCTCTTAGCCAGAAGATACTGATATTCCTTCAGAAATTAATGCTATTCTTGGCTGTCAGTCCCTTGAAAATACAACTTTCAACTTTTTTGTTCTTGGCAGGGGCTTACTGATTTTTAAATCAGTCGCAGATAGTTTTCTTAGAGTTGTAGAATCTTTGAATTAGAAGGGACATTGGGAGTCATTTAGTTAAATTTACTATTTAGGTATAGCAGTCCCTTTCACAGTATTCCTGATACGTGGTTGATTATTCAGCATCTGATTAAGTGTATATTCATGGATTAAATTTGGAACAAAAACCATCTGCACTACCACTACATAAGACATAATCAACTTTGTTCCAGTTATTTTTATAGTTACTTTTCCAATTATTTTTAGACATAGATATTTTTTTAAGAGGGCAAGAATGGCATCCTTCATTGTATAGTTTTGTATACCTTTTTTCTTTATATTAATACTTAACCGTGACCATTTTCTCATTGTCTTAAATTATTAATTTAAAACTATTCATGGCTAAATAATATCTAGGTTTGCTTTCATGTTTTCTGCTGTCATATGCCATCATTCTCTTCTGTATATATTTCAGCACATATCCATCCATTTCTTGGAATAAATTTTTAAACTACTGAATCAAAAGGTACATGGATTGCTTATGCTCTTTCAGTTTGGCATAGTATCCTTCATAAAAGTTATAAGCCATTTCAAATCTGGATAATTTAATTCTTGGTTTATATTGCTTAAAAATCTGCTCCTTGTAATTTAGGCAGAGAAGGTGGATTATTTGTTAACGTGATGCTTTCAAATACTTGAGGGTTGTCCTGCCTCTATTATGACTATTGTGTTTTCTAGACTGTACATTTTATTTCTCATAACTTTATATGGAATAATGGTGATTCAGTCCAAGCATTTTGTTTGCTACTCCATGGTATGTAATAAATAGGTATGATTAGCTCCTAATTTAAAGAGTACAGTAGGTAGAGGTATATAATAGTGGTCAAAGCCAATCACAGTTCACTGTGTTTAACAAATTTCTTTTCAGGTTAAGATTTCCAAAATAAAAATAAAGTGAACTTCTTTAAAACCCTGATTGAATCTACTTTGAAGTTTTGGAGTTTAATTTACTTCTCCCAGAGATATATGTCCAGATTAAAGAGATGTATGCTATTTTTAGCAAAGTAACCTATCCAGTTAATTAAAGTCAGTAGGACCTGTGCTTAATCTTTAGTGCTAGTTTTGTTTTGTTCTTTGACTCGATGTGCCAACCTGTTCTCATACTGTGTGGCCTCTAAACCAAGGAGAATTTTTTTAAAAAGATTATGGGTTGCTCCATATCGATATACCATTGCTATGAAAATCCATATTATGTGGATATCAAAAGTGTCTTTATGCTTTGCAAATTAGAATGAGGATAAATTGAATTCCCTTAAATAGTCCATTTTCTGAATAACATTTGTGACTTCATAGTAGGAATTTAGATAAACACATTCCCCTTCTTTTGGCTTAATGACTTCAATACAGTTGGTGAATGTACTTGATTATTTCAAATGTTTACATTTCTATAGTATTTTAGTAATTTTTTTCAAAAAAACTAGGGACTTTTTATGTATGTTTTCATTTAAACCTTGAATTTAATAAAACTCAAGTTTTATTAAAACTCTGAGTTAGGTACTTTATTATGTCAGTTTTACTGATGAGCAAACTATAGTTCGGAGAATTTAAGCAACTTGAATTGGTCATGCTTTTAATAAGTGGGTGAAGCACAAAAATCATTTATATTGCCATCAGTACTGAACTCACTAAACTTTAGATCCTAAAGCTCTGAGGTTAAAATCTATGGGAATCATCACTGTTTTCAACATCCACAAATCAGTCATTTTAAGCCTCAGCTAGTGTGATTCCCAACAAAGTAGAATATTTGGAAATAAGCAAACTAGTAATTTTTCACTATAAATGGAAATGCTTTTTTTTAGTGTTTTCCTCTTTACAATTGCCTTTTTAAAGCTTATCTTCTGAGTTATAATGTCCCTATTCCTGTACGAATTATTTTGCCTTTTTTCAAAATAAAAATAGAGTTAGCTGATGATATAATTGCTCTTATTTATAATTCATACCAGATTTTGAGGTTAGTGATTTGTCACTATTACCTGTCTTACTTGTTTTATTATTTATGTCCCAGTGTCTGTTTTCTACAGATTATGCTAATCATTCACATTTATTCCTGTCATGCAAACAGCAGAGTTGTTTTCCCTTTTAAACAAAATCAAGATTATGAAAATTGGTATATAATTAATAAAACAAATCTCATAGGATTTGTTTAATCTTGAAATCTGAATTTTTAATTTGTAAACCTTAGTTTCTTGTTTTTGAAATTATATAAAGCCAAGTAACTTTCCTGTTTGTGTATTTTGTTTTGCTTGCTTTCTTCCTCTTTTCTTCCCCCTAATGACTGGGAATGACTACCCAGAAGATTTTAGCCCTGAAGTTATCTTAAAAGATGATACAACCCCAGTTCAGATGAAGAGACTCAGAAAGTAAATGATATATCCAAGACCAGTTAGTTATTAACAGAGACAAGACAAGAGCCCAGTGTTCGACCCACTGTCAAGGGCTTTTTGGATCATCTCTGGGTCATCTCCTCCCTCATACTACGTGAGATACATATTTCTTATTTTTATCCCATGTAGCAAAACACTATTACATTTGAAATTTAGGGATTGGTTCTGTCTTAAATTACTGTGAATTCCCTCTCATTTATTCATAAGATGCCCTGATGCTCTGTCTCTTAACTTTGGTTTTAAGATAAATATGATTTGAATAATTAACTGATAAGTAGTTAAATTTAAATTAATAAGCTGCCTAATTGCCTGGCATGTCTAAAAATATATATGTTTTGCTACAGTTATTTTCTCTGACCTCAGTTTCATTTTACCTGTTGTGCAAAACTTGAAAAAAATTTCATTGTGCAAAATTTATTTTATGAAGCATTCAGAATGTTTTAAGAGAAGGGAGGAAGTAGTATATACAGCCAGACTATTTTGATTGAAATTAGAAGGCATATTGAAAACCCACTCTCTTTACAGATAAGTTAGTGTTCTTAGCTACATCTTTGTGTAGAGCCTACTATGTGTAGGGCTTCACA